AGTACCCATCCCTACAATAAATATGTAAAAGGACTTAGTACCCATCCCTACAATAAATATGTAAAAGGACTTAGTACCCATCCCTACAATAAATATGTAAAAGGACTTAGTACCCATCCCTACAATAAATATGTAAAAGGACTTAGTACCCATCCCTACAATAAATATGTAAAAGGACTTAGTACCCATCCCTACAATAAATATGTAAAAGGACTTAGTACCCATCCCTACAATAAATATGTAAAAGGACTTAGTACCCATCCCTACAATAAATATGTAAAAGGACTTAGTACCCATCCCTACAATAAATATGTAAAAGGACTTAGTACCCATCCCTACAATAAATATGTAAAAGGACTTAGTACCCATCCCTACAATAAATATGTAAAAGGACTTAGTACCCATCCCTACAATAAATATGTAAAAGGACTTAGTACCCATCCCTACAATAAATATGTAAAAGGACTTAGTACCCATCCCTACAATAAATATGTAAAAGGACTTAGTACCCATCCCTACAATAAATATGTAAAAGGACTTAGTACCCATCCCTACAATAAATATGTAAAAGGACTTAGTACCCATCCCTACAATAAATATGTAAAAGGACTTAGTACCCATCCCTACAATAAATATGTAAAAGGACTTAGTACCCATCCCTACAATAAATATGTAAAAGGACTTAGTACCCATCCCTACAATAAATATGTAAAAGGACTTAGTACCCATCCCTACAATAAATATGTAAAAGGACTTAGTACCCACCCCTACAATAAATATGTAAAAGGACTTAGTGAGCTGACAATCAAGTGCTAACTATTTAAGGTGGATCACAACTAATCAAACRCGAATTTTGTACTTTTTTAATTCGCTTGCTTCGCAAAAGTATTTAGTTAAACGTGCTAAAATTTAAATATAAAATGCAGTAATTATTGTAGTTTTTGTAAGTTGTCAGCATTTAGTAATTTATTGGATGGTTTTAAAGATACAGYGCATTTTCAAACAGTTRTAATTTTAGTTTTYRACGATTTACTCTAAAACTAACAGTCRGATCATCATGAAATTTTCAGAATTTTTGTATCTCATCAAACTGCATAAAGGCTATGAATTTAATTGGAAAAAGCTCAGGCAGAAATTAAGATATGAACGCRGCTCAGAAATGAATGTCTGAGGGTCTCTATGCATTTTCAATAGAGTTCAAAAGCCATACACATTGCTTTATCTGAGTGGTCCTTGAGGACACTTACACTAATTGCTTGTGAATTTCTCCAATCTTTTTCTCTAGTTTTTCACTCTGTTTGGGAACAATCCTGAATTCTGACACATAACCCTCTTGGTTGTCTTCAGAATCATAATCACCTAACTCAGCTGTAAAATTTCAACAATACATGTACATCCATTATATGAAATACCTACATTAATGACATATTTCAAAATTAAAGGATTCAATTGCGTCAGGAATACCATAAAGAATTACAAAGTGCAATGAGAGGGAAGCTGAATGGAGAAAAAAATCCTCCAAAAATTGTCCTGGACCCCAAACAATGRCTACAAAACAATCATTTCAACCTGCAGGGTACTATACCTTGAACAATGTAAGCACCTAGCTCAGCTAATTCATTGTAGGAACAAAGCAGTCTGAAACAATATAAGTCAATTCAAGATTTTACCATAACTTGTAGAATTCTCGCGCGCTGATTGGTCGAGAGCCGTTGTCAATCGTAGGACAGACCGATGAAATGACGAATCGCATGCAAATGACGCCGGAAAATGATCAAAACTTGGCAGCGAAACCACCCACTTGAGTTTTGATCATTTTCTGACGTCATTTTCATCGTCGATAAGCGTACAGACCATAGAAAAGCGATTTCGATTTGTTAAATTGCCATTTCGCTTTTTTAGGGATCTGACAGGTTGCAAGATTAAATAGGGTAAAATAATCATTATATAATAATGCTCATCTTCTAGTGATATTTGGTGCATAGCTCAGTAGCAGCTAGCTCACTTGAGGGAGCAAGATTTTATAGATTTAGACTTCCTGTATGTTATTTCATGATGAAACAAGCAATCATGTTTTAAAACAATAGTCATGGCTATGATTTTCCAATATGAATCAATGTACTACTACAATAACATGTACTCCTATTCATTTTTGCTATACATTTTAATCTATTTATAGAGTAATAATGTTACCTTCCATGAAGGATGTCTCTCTTTATTTGTAGGAAAAACTGATATCTGAAAAATAAATTAGGTTAACATACTACTTTCAAAAGTTCATGTTGCTACTTCATCCTGACTTTGTTTGTTGTTAAATTGAAATTTCTCCAAGGCCCATATCTTACACACATACAAAGATAAGTAGACGTATAGAAAACTTTTGTTCTATCCAAGTTTTGGATTAAGAAACAAGAGGTTCTACAACACAATATTCAGACTTTAATGGGTAGTTCCAGAAAATATCCATAGCCCTGCAACAAGCGGCATCAATTTTAGACCCCCCCTCTCTCCATAGGAAATTCCAAAATCAATTTCCCCCTCCCAACTGCAATTAAGAAATCATAATTTACCCCCCACGACAATCAAGGAAAATACATATGAACATGAAGCATCATAGTCTTCTTGATAAAACATGAAAATGAGTTCTAGACACTACGTCATCATAGTTGTCACCGAGCCTCCCAAAGARRGCTAAGCTTTTTTAGCACAGGATGCCCAAACAAAGCTTATAATGGAATTTCAAACCACTTTCATACTCCGAAAAATTGTTATTGAGGACTTAAACTTTAAATCGAAACAATATTTGGCCAGTGTGCATAGGCACTTTAAATAAGTAATTACTTGCGTACAATCCTTTAACTGGAGATACAGTATTCACATGTCTTACTATATGTACAATCCCTTAAACTGGAGATACAGTATTCACATGAAATATACAAATATAGTCAATTTCAAAGTGTAACCCTTTGACGCCTACTTTTCAGAATATTGGTCCCGTCCGCTTGAGCTTGAGTGTAAACCACCTGCTTTGACTCAAATGAATCTAGTATTTCATTTCTACGATGATTAATTAAATGAAGAAGGATTCCTTTGCTTTTTCTATCATCAACCTTTCGTTCTTAAATACAAGTATCGATTTTTTTTTTGCCGACTTGTAAAAACGGGTATGTGAATTTAAGGCATTTAAGTACGGTAGTCATTCTACTGACAGTTGTCACTTGTATTTTCTTTCTTTAATCAAAGAAAACCCATTTTGTGTACAAGCTGTCTGTTTGAAGCACAATTTTCATTTTAATTCATATCAAATAACTTATTTAAAGAGTGACCAACGAGATAGAATACGGTAATAAAGCATATTGATTTTTTGTAGATCAATTGCAGGTTATAACCCCCCACCCCCCACTCGGAATTTCCAAGACACTTTAACCCCCCATCCCTCGGAAATTCCRAAAYCCTCCTTGGTGGGGGTATGGATATGTTTTGGAACTGCACAATTTGCAATTTGAATTAATGAGGTAGCTCTCAAAAACAACTCCTTGAGTGGCCTTAATATCTCCTACAWGTATTCATCTTTCCCATAATGTTTGTTAAATTTTCAGTCACATAAATATCTCTTTTTTACTACAATTATACATTTTCTCCATTTCTGATTGTTGGATAGACATTGAAGTGCATACTTTGTCTCATGGATAAAAAACAATTTTGACGATTCAATGTTGTCGAACGTGAAACTATAACATAATGCAAGATGATCAATTTGTGATTTGAAGTGAAAATGAGAGTCCTTACAATGATCTCAATGTCATCAAATCATTGTAAAAAAAGAAATATAATCTTGACCCTTTTCGATTTGTTACAGCAGAAACTGTTGCATCGCGACTTCAACATTTAAAAGAAATTATTAAGATTTAGGTTTAGAACTTGGGGCGGAGCTTGCTGTATATCAGCCAATGACTGAAGGAATTTACAAAAATCTCCACCCTGCAATGCAACGATTTTCACTGTAAAAAGGCAGTCTTCTGTAATCTGACTGAAATTCAGRATCTGACCTTTTCTCTAAAATTAATTTTAATTTCAATCATTAAAATAATTGGACACTAAAAATGCTAGACAGTTAATGCAAATGCTATTTCAAGAAACCTCTGATGTGAAGCAGGTTTAGTAACACCAAAGCTAAAATGATACCATTAAGAATATCATTGTCAGTGTTCTGACTTGCTAGTGGAAATTCTAAGAGAAGAGCACGATAGCAGTTTCTAGAAGTATCTAACACTGTCATTGCCTCTGATACCTTGTGATTTCTTCATGTACCAAATTTGGGTCCAATGCATAAAACTTTACTCTGAAGAACAGCTTRAAAGGGGGCTTCAAGGCTGTAGATTGATTGAAACAAAACATTAACATTGAAATTGACACTTTACATTAAAAAATAGAGATTAATTGATTTAAAAAAGGTATTTTACAGAGTATCTGATAAAAAAGCAGGAAAACATTTCAGCAAAAGAAATAAATGCTGACAAAACAGTACAGAGAATAACTTTGCATAAATCAAATCATCACACCAATGTAGTTTTCTTTTTAAATAATTTAACAATTTTTATTTATGGCTTGATGGAGGGAATATGTGATTTGAAATCATCATTCAAAGTTATTTCTAAGAATATGCAGAAGAATTCTTTGCAACAAAGAKATTTCAGTTGAAAGCTAGTGTCTAGCTTCCTAGTCCAGTCCTGGACTCATTACCAACTGCTCCAGGAACTCAAAAGAAGAGTTCACTATAAATTGTATTGTGCATATCATCCTACTGACCTTACTATAATGTAACCATAACCCTAACCCATATGTTTTGACTGCAAAGTTAGAACTATTTTACAAATTAAATTAAAGATGGAATGTTATTTTCAAATCCATGATATCATTTTAAGTACATGACAGTCCAAAAAATCACAATACTCTACAGATCAATGAAGCATGTTGAAAGAAAGACTGCACTACCCAGCTTCCACTTTCAATTTTGGAGAAAAGCCTGTAGGAACATATTGTACACAGTTTAATCTGGATTCAACTCTTTCAAAGAATTGCAAACTTCTGTATTTAGAAGAATTTTAATGAATAGAGTTATTAACCCTTTGACTTCTCCTGAAGCTACTCAGATTGGTGGGAACTTTGGAATCAATGTAATCCCTATGAATTGGTCTTTGTTTTGATGCTAAATAAAGTGCCAGTTTTAAAAATAAAACAGTTTTATAAATGTTTACATTACAGAAATCAACAGTTAGCAGTTAGCAAGGTTATAYGAAAAGCTTTCAACAATATTTACACCGATCAACGTTGGAAACGAAGTGCAATGATTTGTAGGCTTACATTAAGACCATAAGAAATAATTGAAAGTATTGATTACTAAACTGAACATTGACGACATGGAATATCGAAATATAAATCCAATGGCGGCTTTCTTGTTYAATTYGCYKTAAATTCACCGTAAATTCCTTGCTCATGAAGATTCTTGAATTCCATAACATCAGATGTCTTCGTTTCAGCATTGACAGAGTCAGTTTTCATRTCAGTTATTAACGTTCYGTAAGTTTTTAGGTAGCTCGGAGCRATATTTGGAATGTAGTTAAGAACGGGTCAGTTAGATAAATCTTGAAACGACCCGTTCSAAATGTACGCCTCTTAGCACATAATTTTTTCGACATCTTCATCGTTTGTAGTTCGATCGACCATGTGCCAACTATTCTTTTGGGATCCCTGTGGTTTAATTCGCAAAGCATCATGGGGGACTATACAYRACGTTGATAGATTGAAGAAAAGGTATATTAAGACATGAGCTTCCACAGGAAGCCCATGTAAAAATGCTGTTTTGACACTAATTTCTGACAGTGAAAAATTTTGTCATTTCATCCTTGATACGAACTTTTCAATATTCAATCCATATTAAGAAGACTTATTGTTATTGTATTAATCCAATCATCAATCGAGATTTCAAACTATTTTTGTTTTGAATATTGAAAAGTTTGTATCAAGGATGAATGTTCGAAATAAGTTTCTGCCATTTATGCAACTATAATCGTTGCCAAAACACCTTGGATCGTAGAATTATTTGTCTCCAGCCTAACATTTTTCTCCTTTATTYTTTCGCAGTTTTCCCCCTTAGCCCCCTTTCATCATTTTGGATGCTTGTGTACTATGGTAACATCCTCAATGACAACATTGCATTTAGAGGGTCAGGAGGGATGAAATTGTCTGCAGGTGTTGCTTAATAAAATGAGGAAATTCGCTGGAATGGTCCAAGGATTTTGTCAACGATTGTAGTATATTTTCGAAATTTAAACAACTTCATTTTAGAGCCTAAAAGAAKCTTTCCAACTTAAATATTATGAGTTATCGTTCAAATAACAAAATTTCCATCCCCAACAAACATTGCCAGCTACATTTGAACTTCAGAAAGGACTACATTATGACAAAATATTTTTTTGATTTTTTCAACCTCCATTATTTTTTCAACCTCCTGTGCATTTGTTGACATATGCTAATTTTACTGCGGGACAAAATGTACATTATTTTCAGGGGGARGCAAGACCAAATTTACACAGAAAGTCGCCAGAGGGTTAAATTGCATTCAATGACGAATTTTGTACTTTTCCGTAGGTCATCTAAAAATACATCAAAATTCGAACCTACAAATCTGGACAAAAAGAGTTGAAATTGTTTTAAAAATCGCTGAATGTTGGAATGTCTCTGTATACTTTTTATTTTTTTCTGCCCTCCCCCCTCTCCCCTTCGCTCAAAGTCGTACTTTAGAGAGCTCACATATACCTGCTGGATTCTGTTTGAGTGCTAACAACACTGTTTTGGGAGAAGGGAGGGGGTAGAGGAGATGTTTTGTTGAACTGACATGAAGGGTGGAGTTATTCTCAACCTTTTTGTCCAGGATTGTAGCATGAAATGTTTTCAATCTAATGATTGCTGTGGAGGTTTGCAACATTCCTTATCGATATGCTGACAAATCCTATGTAGATTTATTGAAGCAATGTATCAAGAGCAGGCATAGCCATTTCTCTTCTCGCACCAGGTGGGTGACAAAAAAAAMCAGATCTGTCATCAAGCATAAAMTTACATATACCAAATMAATGTAAATACTCACATTTCATCTGTTTTAGAATATTTTTATTCAGATCCAGCCAATGCTAAAACAATAAAATATCATCAATACCAGAAATGAAACAAGAATACAATAAAATCTAAACTCTACAAAGCTGTCTTCAAAATTAATCTTATAGATTTTGCAAACTACATGTAGATCTATTAACCAACAACAGTGCCACAGTCCAAAACAAAATCTTTGATGAAATAAAAAATATGTACCAGATAAAAACAGTTTTTGCTCTAATCCCTTGACCAAAACTACTAAAGTAACATTTTGTTATTGGTTGATCTAAACAATGGAAAATGCACTTAACGTTCAACAGGTTTCAGACGAACTACATAGCAATCATATTGTAGAAAACGAATGCTTCACAGTAAATCTAAAACTAGTAATTTTACAACTTTTATATTTAAGAAATATAAAACGGCGCGCGTGTCTCTGTCCTCTGATATAAACACGGTGGGAGTTCGAAAAACACGAGAGAAGCAAGCTTAGGAACACGAGCGTAGCGAGTTCGAAAAACACGAGAGAAGCAAGCTTAGGAACACGAGCGTAGCGAGTGTTTCTCTTGCTTCTCGAGTGTTTTTCAACTCCCACCGTGTTTATATCAGAGGACAGAGACACAAGCGGCCGTTTTATATTTCTTTTATAAAATTTTTCGAGCGAAAAGAAAATTTTGCCGGTAAGCCGTGTCTCTGTCCTCTGATATAAACACGGTCGTCAGCCAATCAGAGCGCGCGTTATATATCAAAAATTTTATAA